CACACACACACACACACACACACACACACACACACACACACACACACGCATGCATATATATGTCTCTATCTGCACTGTGCATCTATCACCTTTCTGTTAGGAATGGGTAGGTTCCCCTCTGGAACCATGATTGGTTATATCACTGATTAGAATTCTTAAATCTTGGAGGAGCCAAGATGTCGGAGGGAAAGCAGTGACTTACTAGAGCTCTCCCCCAAACCCCTCCAAATACCTACAAAAAATGGATCTAAACAAATTCTAAAGCAGCAGGACCCACAAAAAAACAGAGTAAAACAAATTTCCAGCCCCAGACAACCTGGATGGCTGATTGGAAAGGTATATCGCGCCGGGCAGGGAGAGGGGCGCAGTTCGGCATGGGCGCGCAGGCCGCTGCGACCCTGGAGCAGGCCTCAGAGCACTGAATCTCGGGCAGCTGTGGCGGTTTCCAGACTTCTCAACCCACGAACACCAAAGACAACTTAGAAGGTCAGTGGGAAAAGTCTGTGTCTGCGGTGAGAGAAGAAGCTAGATCTCACCCACCCTGAGGGCAGCGGCTGGCTTCTGAGCTTCCGGCCCACATACTAAGGGGGAATCGAGTGGGTGATCAGAGGGGGATTGAAAGGATCTCTTTGCCAGGGCTGAGGCAAGAATCTCTTGCTTTACCGGTGCTTGGATCTGGGTCATAGTTCTGAGGGGCGGTCCTGGGGCAAGGAGGAGTGCTGGCGTGGTGGAGCTTGTTGTGGTGGTGGAGAGGAAACACCTCGCCCCTTATCATAGCACCTTGGAAGAACTGACACTTTTCAGGTCCCTAGAAGTATCTCTGAAAACAGCTGTACAAACCCCCAAAGCTTGGGACAGTACATTCTCCACATTGGAAACAGACTCTTACCTTAACAAAGAGTTTAAAACTCAAGTAATTGGTTGGGATCATGAGCAAGCAGCGCAAAAAGAGTCAGATTATATTATCTCACTTTGGTGACAAAGAAGATCAAAACATACAACCAGAAGAAGAAAACAAAGTCAAAGCTCCTACATCCAAAACTTCCAAGAAAAATATGAATCTAGTCCCAGGCCTTGGAAGAGCTCAAAAGGGATTTTGAGAAGCAAGTAAGAGAAGTAGAGGAAAAACTGGGAAGAGAAATGAGAGTGATGCAAGAAAATCATGAAAAGCAAGTTAACAGCTTGCTAAAGGAGACCCCAAAAAATACTGAAGAAAATAACACCTTAAAATATAGCCTAACCCAAATGGCAAAAGAGGTCCAAAAAGCCAGTGAAGAAAAGAATAACCTAAAGAGCAAAATTGGACAAATGGAAAAGGAAGTCCAAAAGATTATTGAAGAAAATACTTCCTTAAAAATTAGAATAGAACAATTGGAAGCTAGTGAATTTATGAGAAATCAAGACACTGTAAAACAAATCCAAAAGAATGAAAAATTAGAAAATAATGTGAAGTATCTCATTGGAAAAACAACTGACCTGGAAAATAGATCCAGGAGAGAGAATTTAAAAATTATTGGACTATCTGAAAGCCATGATCAAAAAAAGAGCCTAGATATCATCTTTCAAGAAATTATCAAGGAAAACTGCCCTGATATTTTAGAACCAGAGGGCAAAATAGAAATTGAAAGAATCCACTGATCTCCTCCTGAAAGAGATCCCCAGAGGAAAACTCCTAGGAATATTGTAGCCAAATTCCAGAGTTCCCAGGTCAAGGAGAAAATATTACAAGCAGCCAGAAAGAAACAATCCAAGTATTGTGGAAACACAATCAGGATAACACAAGATTTGGCAGCTTGTACAAGGGACCGCAGGGCATGGAATATAATATTCCAGAGGGCAAAGGTGATAGGATTACAACCAAGAATCACCTACCCAGCAAAACTGAGTATAATTCTTCAGGGAAAAAATGGTCATTCAGTGAAATAGAGGACTTTCAAGCATTCTTGATGAAAAGATCGGAGCTGAATAGAAAATTTGACTTTCTAATACAAGACTCGAGTGGAAAATGAAGAGTTAAACAGGAAAGAGAAATCATAAGAGACTTATTAAGGTTGAACTGTTTACATTCCTGCATGGAAAGACGATATTTGTAACTCATGAGACCTTTGTCAGTATTAGGGTAGTTGGAGGGAAAAATTATATGTATGTATATATATATAGATAGATAGATAGATAGATAGATAGATAGATAGATAGATAGATAGAGGGCACAGGGTGAGTTGAAGATGAAGGGATCATATCTGGAGAATAAAATTAAGGGGTGAGATAGGATTATACTAGGAGAAGGAGAAAGGGAAAGGTAGAATGGGGTAAATTATCTCACAAAAAAACAGAAAAGACTCTTACAGCGGAGGGGAACTGGGGGAAGGTGAGAGGAAATGAATGAATCTTATTCCCATAGGATTTGACTTAAGGAGGGAATAACACACACAATGGAGTATGGAAATCTATCTTACCCTACAGGAAAATAGTAGGGGAAGGGGACAAGAGAGTAGGGGGATGATAGAGAGGAGGGCAGATTGGGAAAGGGAGTAATCAGAAGCAAATACTTCTGAGAAGGGACAGGGTCAAAAGAAAGAATAGAATAAATGGGGGGCTGGGATAGGATTAAGGGAAATAGAGTTAGTTTTTCATAGCATGTCTACTATGGAAGTGTTTTGCATAACTGCACAAGTATAGCCCATATGGAGTTGCTTGCCTTTTCAATGAGTGTGGGTGGGGAGGGAGGAAGGGAGAAAATTTGGAACCCAAAGTTTAAAAAAAAACACATGTTTAAAAAAAATGTTTTCACATGCAACTGGGAAATAAGAAATACGGGAAATGGGGTACAGAAATCTATCCTGCCCTATAGGAAAATAGATGGGGAAGGGGGGGAGAGATAGCAGGGATAGCAGACTAGGGGAAGGGGTATTCAGAATGCATGCCATCTTGGGGTGGGGGGAAGGATGAGATGGGGAGAAAATTTGGAACTCAAAATCTTGTAAATGTTGAAAACTAAAAATAAAAAAAAATTTAAAATTAAAAAAACTATTTGTTTCACAAATATGTATCATTGGTAAAAATAGAAATGTGGAAGGATTAGATAGTAAAGTGTTCATTGATTTAGTGTGAATGACAGAATCTCAGAGCCAGAAAGGGCCCCAGGAAGTATATAGAACAATCCATTCTTGAGCCACTCTTTCTCTGTGCTTCATAGGTTCCCTTGAAAACATAAATCATGTGCTAGATCTATGTTGTCAATGCTCTCCCCACCCACCTGCAATGACATCATTTACTCTCTCTATATATTGTAAATATTCATCTGTAAATATTGTAAATATGTGGGGGTTTATAACAAATATGTATAGTGAAGTGAAACAAATTCCAGCATTAGGTATGTCTAAAAAAAAAGTCTCAGTCTGCACTCTAAGCCTATCACCTCTCTGTCAGGAAGTTTTGGTAGCATTTTTTACTAGCTGTGCAGTTTTAAATCTGAGGGAGCTCTTTTTTTTTAATAACTATTTCAATGTAATGGATTTCCTTTGTAATCCTATGTATTTATTTTATTCATTTAAAAACATTATTCTGAGGGGCAGCTAGGTGGCGCAGTGGATGGAACACTAGCCTGGGAGTCAGGAGGACCTGAGTTCAAATCAGACCTCAGACACTTGACACTTATTAGCTGTGTGACCCTGGACAAGTCACTTAACTCCATTGCCTTAAGAGAAAAACATTATTCTGAGGAGAGCCCCATAGATTTCACCTGATTTTAGTGCCTTCCCTCTCAGATGATCTTCTCTTTATCCTGTATATATCTTGTTTATACACAGTTGTCTGTGAGCTACTGGAAAGCAAGGACTGCTTTTGCCTTTGTATCCCCAAGGCTGTGGGCACATACTCTTGATGGTCAGTCATGTCTGATTCTTTGTGACCCCATTTGGGGTTTTCTTGGCAGAGATCCTGGAGTGGTTTGCCATTTCCCTCTCCAGCTCATTTTACAGATAAGGAAACTGAGGCAAACAGGGTTAAATGACTTGCCCAGGGTCAGTAAATATGTCTGACGTGGCATTTGAACTTAGGTCTTTCTGATTCCAGACTCAGTGCTCTATCCACTGAGCCACCTAGCTGCCCAAGTGGGCACATAGTAGGTGCTAAATAAATGCCTTTTGAATCTCACATACTGCCTAAAAAAAAGAGAGAGCAAGAGAGAGAGAGAGACAGAGACAGAGAGAGACAGAGAGAGAGAGAGAATGATTTTTGGTTAAGAACTTTTAAATTGGGGGAGCTAGGTGGTGCAGTGGATAGAGTATCGGCCCTAGGGTCAGGACTACCTGAGTTCAACTGCGGCCTCACACCCATAACACTCACTAGCTGTGTGACCCTGGGCAAGTCACTTAACCCTATTGCCTAGCCAAAAAAAAAAAAAAGAAGAAGAACCTCTGGATTTAAATGATCTCCACGGTCCCTTCTAGCTTTACATCCATGATCCTCTAACAAGATACCCTCCTTCCATGCCTTCAAGGGAGGCTATACTCAGACTACACATCCCACAATCCTTGTCGGCACTCTTCCCATTACCTCATCTCTCTGCCTCGTTTTCGCCCGCCTCTACCTCACGGTTGGTGGGGGGGAAGCGGCCAAGAGCCCTCAGTTCTCGCGAGGTCGGCTTCTCCCTCTCTCGGCTGAGCCGATTCCCGGCCGTCCTTTCGCGAGACTTCGTGCCCCTCAGACGCCCCTGCCGCCGCATCCGACGAAGCCCTGGACCGGGACCCAGACCGGCTTCTTCTGCGGGCAGAGCTCGAGCTTCGGCTCCGGCCCCGCCGAGGCCCCGGACCCCCCCTGCCCTGTCTTCCCTGCCCTCCTCTGCCGCTGTCATGGCGGACCCCAAATACGCCGACCTCCCCGGCATTGTGAGTAGAGGGCCCGGACAGCCCCCGCCCCGCGACCCGGCACGGTCCCTCCCTGGCCGCGCCGCTTGGGCCGCCGCCGGGGACCCGCCCGAGGGCGCCGGCTCGAACGCCCCGGCTCACGCGTGGGCCCCGGCGCCTCCCCCGCCGCCCGGCGGGCTGCCCGGTCCCTGCCCGGGGACCCTCACCCGGTCCCCGGCACCCCATCCCCACCCCCGCCCCGGGGTGCGGCCGGCCACGAGCGCTGAAGGTGGAGCCCGAGTCGTGTCCGCGTCCTTTCTGTCTCCCTGAGTGCCGGGGCAGCCTCGGGCGAGTCACGTTCCCGTTCTGGGCCGCCGGTCCTCCCTCGATTGCCTTGCCATGGCCCCCTTCAGCTTAAATCCGTGCTCCTGCCCCTATCCAGAGGCTCCCCGGCCACCTCTCCGCACCCGCTTCCTGAGCCTTGCCTTGGCCTCCTCCTTCTTAACCTAGGGTCCATGAACTTTCTCCTTTCAGTAGTTTGATAACAGAATTTCTATACAATTGATTTCCTTTGTAATCCTAGGTATTTATTTTGTGCATTTAAAAGCAGTCTGAGAATGGATTCATAGGTTTCACCAGACTGTCAAAGTTGTTTGTGATACAAAAAAGATTAAGAAACCCCTGCCTTAAACCCTCTTACCCATCTAAGGATTTGTTTCACTCTTCTGCTGTCAGATCTCCCTCCAGGCTTCTCTCTTCCAGGCTGTCTCCACCCACTCCCATTGCATTGTAGCCCTCTTGAGAGTATTCTGACTACCAAGCACCTGGCTTCCGTCTCTGAGCTTCTTTACCTCCACCTCTTTTTTTATTTTTCCAATTAACAAGCATTTTTTTTCTCTCTTCACCCATTGGGAAAAAAAAGATAAAACCCTTATAACAAATATGCATTGTACTTATTTGTTACAAGTGTTTTTTTTTCTTTTCCAGTTTGGGGGGTGGTGTTAGGAGAGCCTGAAGGGAGAAAAAATAGATGGTTGATATCTTTGTATTTTAATATGATAGTGGAACAGAAAAAAATACAAGTAGTCAAAACAAATTCCCACAGTAGCCCCCTCCAAAAAATCATATATCCCATTCATCATCCTGAGTCCACCACCTCTCTTTCAGGACATGGGTGGCCTGGAATCTACCCCCAGGAGTCCTGGCTGATCATTGCATTGATCAGAGTTTTTAAATCTTTCAAGGTGGATTGTCTTTACAACATTATAGTTATTGTGTAAATTGTCCTCCATCTCCTCTGTGAAAGCTCTCGCCTTCCTTTTGTTTTCTTCTTTTCTGTAAGTGTGCTCTTTCAGGCTGCCACCAATTCCATTGCACTGTAACCTAACATTTCACCTACCCCCAACCTATACCTCATAAGCTTGTGCACCTCTCACAATGCAAGACTTGGCCCCCTCCTCTTGACTCCTATTAGCATCCAAGAATGTTTCCTCCTCTCCTGTCTTATCTTCCCACTCTTATTTCCATTGCATTCAACCTCTCCTAGACTATCCCTCCGATTTCATACTTCCTCTCTACCACCAACACACACCCCTAGGCCTCCTCTACCTTGCATTTTACCAAAATGAAACAAATACTGACTATATGGCCTTTGACACTCCCATACTAACCATGACCTGTTCCCCTTGCTGCCTTATTTCCACTTTTGCCAGACTTAGAGTTGGCTAATGGCAGATAAGAAGTTGGAGCAACAAAATCATTCTTAGATCAGGTTTAGAACTCTGTCTAAAGCTCTGAAAACTGCCATCCCATATCAATACATTTGATGTACCCCCGAGTTGTACTAGTTTACCATTATAGTAAGTGAAGTGAAAAGACTTAAGGTCCATGTCCCTCTCAACCTTGTCTCCTCAGATTAGTAAAAAAAATACAGTGCCTAACCCTCAGATGAAAGCATTGTCTTTGTCATAACTCACATTCAGCTTCTACCATCAAGTTTCAGTTGCTTCAGCCACCAGCCCTGTGGTGGTTCCCTGGGCTGGGTGAAGGATAAGGGACAGGTGAGCAGGCAGGTGATCTGGGAATCATCCCGTCTTCTCTGTTAGCCATGATAAATGGAGGGGAAGGGACTTGGTGGGTACTTTGTCATGAGGTGGGTTGGTTACTTCTTCTACCTGCAGGCCAGGAATGAACCAGATGTTTATGAGACCAGCGATCTCCCTGAGGACGACCAAGCAGAATTTGATTCGGTAAGACCACACACTGCTGTTCCACAGCACTCCTTTGGTGCCCTTCCCCTGGCCTATCTCATCCTTTTCCCTAATAAGCCACCACAAAAATCTGGTGTGCCAGCCTCATTTCCAGGGCATTTTAAGTTGTTGGTCATACAAAAGATTTACACTCATCATTGAACTTGGAGCATGAAGGAGAAATGCTAAGACAGTTCAGACCTTTAAAGCTCTTGAGTTTAGCTGGTAAAATCTGAGCAAATAACTGAGGTTAGGAAAAACATAGACTTCTAGGACCTGGTTATTGTTTAAGAACAAATATGAAACCTGAGATGCTGTAAACTCCCTGAGACTGAGTTATGTCTTCCTCAAACAGTATTTCACTCAATATTCCACAGTAACACCGGTTACTGTGGACTGGTGACTTACCTAGTGCAGAGCTTCATGGGGCAGAGCAAGGATTGTGGTTTGGAGCTTTTTACAGAGATTGGGGAACGGTCATGACAAAGAAAGATGGTGGAGGAATCGATTCACTTTCTTAACAAAGAAAAGGTGCTTTGAGGGATGTTTAGATATAGGAAGATGTCCAGAGAAGAGAGATGGTATGGGGGAAACTATGGATACTGTCCCAGACAAGGAAGAGCATTTAGCACATAATCTGGTCAAGTCTCCCTTGTTTAGAGAGCTTTGTATAGTATAGAAGAAGGAAGATATATACATACATATATATATGTGTGTATACATATATGTATGTATATATATGGTCCTTCCCTTCAAGGAATCCAGCGCCAACACCCAAGCTAATAGAAGAAATAAGATACACCCAAATAGTGCCTAGGTCATAACAGAGAAGTACAAATTAAATGGTACAAGCTGTGTGTGAGTTCCTGAGGGCACTGACGCAGTTTGTTCCGCTTCTGAAAAGGGCAGGTAGGATTGACTGTTCTTTATCTCTGAAAAAGAAACAGCAGGTTGTTTCCCTCCCTTTGGTTTGGGGATATCATAGAATATGCTTAATTGTATTTATTATGTGTTTCTGGTATTCCCACAATGGCCTAGGCTAGAGTGATGTCTGAACAAAGACAGCATGGCTGACCATCCTCAGGAGGCAGGCTCCATACAAACATGTATGAATCTTTTGGCTGTGTCTGGGAGTTTTCTGGTCAGTTGGGGGGTGCTGGATGCTGGCTGATAATGTGTGGCTTGGCATATTCACTTTTTTCTTGTTTGGCTCTCCCACATGGCAGTAGCCCCTGATTTTCAAACAGACCGTATCTTCTACCCCACCCCACCTTCTGTGGTATGTCTCTTGTGGCATCTCTCTCTAGCTGCTCGCATGTCATGTCCCAAAGCTGCAGTCATATGGAGATGGATGTAGTGTGGTACAGTTGTCCAAAGAATAATGTGTGAGTGTGGCTGAGGCATCTTTTGTTGCTCATGAGCTATTCTTACCTGTCACTATAAGAGCTATTCTTAAAGGTCCTTCTCCAGATTAGTCATCTCTCTCCTCTTTAGAGGTCAAAAGTGGGAGGTGCTGAGCACATTATCATAATGCCACAATCCAGGAATTCTGCTCAATTTCAGCCTGGGCCTGTCTAGACTCTAGAATAAATGTCAAGTTTTCACAGAGAGATACTGAATGGGACCCTACTGCTGACCAATCTCTAATGCAGGGACAGGAATTAATTTCAGAGGAAACCTATCCATTTGAAAAATAAATTGTGATTTTTCTTTTGGTGTATTCCTGGTGTCCACAGAGGGTTCTCCTTAATGAGCAGAGCCATTGAACCGAGGGTAACGTCCCTGGCTAAGCCTCACCAGCTGTGGAATAGGCTTAATAGGATGTTAACTACCTGGGAGAGGAGAGCCAAAAAGGATGTCCATTCCAGGTCAGCTGCTTCTCCCCCAGACAGAACCTAAGCAGATGTCTGGTTTATTCCTAAGTAAGAGTGCTTTTTTCCAGACTCCAATAATCTCTCATCTCAAATGGGAAAGATAAGTATTTTATTTCCCTGGATCCTTTGTTCAGTATCTACCAATAACAGCGCTAGGAAACTGGAGAAATGATGACGTAAGTTTAGTTGCTTTCCCTCAACATTTCTTTTAGTGACTCTCCAGCAGTAGAAGTAGAGAAATGAGGATGCCTTCAGCTGCTTTAGGAGGAGCCAAGGCTTTCGATGTTTTCTGTCATAAAGCTAATGTATCTGGCTACAGCTTGTCCCTTTGGGCCCTAGAGAGACAGTTTGCCAAGGAAGCTGAGTAATGGCTCTACTGCTGTTCTTAATTCACATTTAAATTTGTAACTTGAGATGTATATGAATTAAAACTTCAGCAATCTTGGTTTCTTTGATATCAACATTTCTCCCAGCATGCCTACCTTCCTGAAGATATAGCATGGGAGAAAGGCACATACCACTATCACTGTTCAACCTTGAGTCTCTCACACAAATTCATACAAAGCTACCATTCCACTACCCCCAGTGATGGTGTTCTCTAAGTTAATCTCCAGACTTTTGATTAAAGGAATAGTGAAGTAGCTTTAGCGTGTGTAACACCAATATGGTAACCTCTATTATTTCTTCATTGTGAGAGAAACTTTGTCTGGCCCAGTAATCTTAAATTAAGCCACAGATGGAGATGGTGGCTTAAAAAAATAAACTGTATCCAGAATTTTATAATTGCTACTTCATAGTATACCTGGAAATGTTGCTATCCTCAGAAGGCTGGTATGGGAAAGGTTTGTTTATAAAATGACCAAGTTCCTTACTGTGCAGTAAAGCAGCTAAAGCAAGAAATGATATTCCAAAGGGGAGTGAGCGAAGGGTGCTGGGCCAACTAAAGGGTCTAGCTGACCTTACCATGTGACCCCTCTCATACTACAAGTTACCCTTCATTGCTGTCCATACACAGGTTTGGTTTTCCCAGGCCAAGTTCCAAGATAATTGGGAAATGGACTGGGTTTTTTTGGTAGGATTAAAAAAAAAAAATTTGAGGAAAGTTAATTCCCAAAGGTGAACCCTGTCTTCTATACTTGATCTGTCAGTACTCAACTTTAGTATATGAATTGTTTTATTTATGATTTTTGAAGCTACTAGAGCAGGAAAGCAAGAGGAACATTCTTAACTAAACACATGGTTCATAGCAGTCCTCACTGCCAGATAATGGGAAAACCTACTGCTCTGTTGCAAACTCTGGTGCTCTGAGAGGGTTGTGGCACAGCCAGCAGTCTCCTGGCTGCTTATGCAGTTTGTTCAGCCTCTGAGAAGGGCAGGTAGGATTGATTGTTCTCTAGCCCCAAAAAAGGAACAGCAGGTTGTTTCCCTCCCTTTGGTTTGGGGATATCATAGAATATGCATAATTGTGTTTAATAACTGTTAATGCACATGAACTTATCTGAGTTTTTCCTAATGCTTTCCCCCTCCCTCCTCACCACCTTGCCTGGACACTAGTTTGCACAAGTAAGACCATTCAGTGCTTCTACTTTGCATGTTTTCTTGTTTTCCATCTTGCATGCCAGTGAACTGCCTCCTGTCCTTTTGTTGTCACTAATCATTTCAAAAGCCAATAAACACCTGATTGGGTGACTTTGATGCCTGCCGGCCTCCTGTTTAAAGATGGTTAGTCAAGTTTTGTATATAGAATTCTAATTGGATTACTGTTACCTTTTCCTTATGTGAGCATCTTAGAGTCAAATTGTCAGGTGGAGGGTGGTACGTGGCGATAAAGACTATAAAAGCATTTGGGCATGAGGATTCCATTGATTTGAGGAGCAGAAAATGGGAAAATATGCCCCCTTTTTCCAGCCTGGAACAAGACCAATAGAAAGAGAATAGTTTTGAACTATGTTAGATCAAGGTTATATCACTTCAGGTGACTGTACAGCAAGAGGCCAATGCCTCTTCCTCCATCAAAGGAACATCTCTGGGGAATAGCTATCAGGATTTTTAATTTGTGTGTGTGTACGTATGTGTGTGTTCCGTGGAAATTTTAATTTCCAACATTGTTGCCCAGCACATTTTTTGGACTACCTCATCTGAATGGAGGAACAATTGGTTTGTGCTTAGAATTGCAAACTAATTTTAATATCAACTTAAGCAAAACAGAAAGTTACATCTTGTGTGTTGGAGGATAAAGGTGAGGGAGAATCATATGTATTCTAAAACCGAGAACTGTCTTTTTTATTATCCATGACACAACTTCATATATTACTAATTCCAAAAATAGCCTCAACCTTGTTCTCTAGAATTTCAAATAAAGAAACAGTGATTTAGAATTAACTATTCTTTTGTACCCCTCCTTAAAAATGGATAGTTAGCTTTGATTTTATATGGGTAAATTCTAGGTTATATTCTCCAGCACTATCCTCTCTAACCACCTATAGTGTCTCTAGCTCTTTCTTTGGTACTGTACCTAAGTCAGAGCAAAGTACGAACTTTTGGCCTCCTCCACCTCCTCACTGCCTCATATCCACTCCACTCCCCACCTCACCCTCCAGGATTTGTGTAGTCACTTGGCCAGATACTCCTGGTGAGTTTAGAAATTGAATAGAGTGAGTGAGGAACGAGTCATATGAAAAATGCTACATCAACTGTCCTTGCTGACACCCATGATTAGGATATGAGACTTTTCAGTCAGGGTGACTGTGGTGTTTTGTGTTTCTTTGGTGATCAATACAACTCCAGGTAGTGGGAATTATATATAAGATTTCATTTTCTCTCTGGCACATCCTGGAGACCATGATTTGAAAACTAATCCATCACTTGGTTATTTCCACTAGCAAGTTTTTTTGTACCCCCTGCTGCTCATTCTTCATGATTTGGATTTGAACTTGGGAGTCTACTCCCTGATGACCATTTGCTTCTCTCCCTGAGCCAGCTTTATCTCACTAGGACAAGGATGAGAAAGGCTTGGTCTCTGTGTTTGCATGTGAGCACCTTTGCAGGCTTTCCATCCAGGCAGTCCCACTGAAACCTCCCCCTGCCTCTTCCAGCTCAGACAGCAAAACTGAAAATGGAGCTCCAGTTCAGTCTAAAGGAGGAACCTTGCCTGGGCCAGAAACAGTCATTAGAGGAAGTAACTATGGGATGAGGAATGAAGAGGTGGGGAGGTCAGGATACAGCTATGCTTGTATTACATGGAGGAGATTGAGACCCAGTCTCTAGTGTATATCCCTGTACTCATGCCCTTCATTTGTGTCTGCCCCTTTGGAGCATCTTTTGGGATTTTCCCCTCCTGGAGATTCCTAATTCAGCACTGCCTAGGACTAGGAACCATCTGTCATGGCCTGGGTTTACAGAAACTATATTTGTTACCCTCTCCTTCACTCCCCCCCCCCCCCAAATGGATCCTGTAACAAGGGAATTAAAAAGTCAGATTCCCCACAAGGGTCTGAGAGCTGGATATTGGAATTCTTTGAACTTTGGTCTCCCTCTGCTAGCTCATCACAGTAAAATTAAGCTCGCTTATTCAGGGAACAAGAAGGTTATTTAGCAGTAACCAAAATTAGGTGCTCCCAGGGCTAGGGGAATGAGAAAATGATTGGAATTAGGGACTGTTTTACCCCTACTGTGAGAGCAGCCACAGCAGAGAAAACAGGTGTTTGACAGGTTCTTCCTGCTTCCTTTGTCAGCAGCTGGGATTAGCTGTCCTGCCTAACCTGAACACTTGCTTTTCCCTTCCCTCACTAGGGCTCATGCTGCCATTTTAACTGTCTTGTGCTCCCGAAGCCTCGAAAATCAGGGTAGTGGCCAGAGGCTAACCACTCAACTAGAGGCCTTTGGAATGGCCACAGTCTCTCCTTCACACCTGCCATCTCTTCTGGGCCACTATAGGAGAAATCCCCTTTAGCTCAGCAATGCTTTGATTCCTCTTTTCTTTCTTATCATTTCCTTAATCCATGTCACTGGCTGATCACCTCTAACTGCTGGTGTTCTTCTATTTTTTAGTAATTATCCTTTCACCTAATCTCCTGTGTAGCCTTGTTACCTAGGGGGAGGGTCGGGTCTTACTCTTTCCCACCCTTTTTGAGTATGTGGGGATCTCATCTGTAATTAACTGTTACCAAGGTTTTGCCAAGCTCCCCCGGGGCCCTGTGGTACGGTATGTTTTAAGAGTATCATGTAGTGCATGTGACAATGTGCTAATAACAATTTTGTCTTTTTTTCCCCCCAATTTCCCACTCCTTTTCCTCTTAACCTCTTTTGACTTTCTCACCTCTGGGGAAACTGCAAGGAGCTGGTAAGAAGCCTGACCTTTTGTCTGCTTTTTTAACGGGTGTGCTATCATGGGATGGGTGTTCTCCTGCCCTTTTGTCTGTACCAAACTTCTCATCCTTCCATTCCCTGCCCACTTAGCTGGCTTAACCTTGACCCCATTCATTCTGCCACCATCAAATACCTCTCGGACACTGATCTAAGACCCTAGAATGTAAAAGTGGAGAGTCCTTCAACACTGTTCTCCTGCCCCTTCCAGGGGTAACACATACTTAGAGAGGCTCCTGATGCCAAAGTCACCTAACACCTATGTTGTAAGGCCCATTGTCAGTGCTGCTATGTAAGGGGCAGGGACCTATAGCTGAAGGAAGACTGCTGGTGAATTTTCTGTCTCATTCTGTCTCACAGTCAAGTCCCAGGCCTGTAATAGGTTGGTGCTGATCTCTGCTCAGCTGTCCTAAGATTGAAATTGTCTAAGGCTGGCTGATTTTTTACAATCCCTTCACTGCCCAGGGCATCATCTTTCCTTGGACTGAAGGACTGTCACCCTTCAAACTTAAAATTTTTAATAGAGTTTTTAATTTTACTGTCCTTGCTGATCAGGGTCCTGGCAAGGGAAGAGAGGAGGGGATTCAAGGGTGGACTAGAGAAAAGGTAGTTATCTCATGCTTAATTTTCTCCTAGATGTTTCAGGGGCTTTTATTCCCTTAATTTGAGTTCTTTCCCAGTCACATGTGAAGTAGAGATCAGAGATCAAGATACTCACTGATTGGATACCTGGGGTATGTGGTGCTTTGGGCACAGCACCCCAGAGAGGACTGGAAAAATGATGCTTTTATTATCGAAAGCTCCTTTGCTTTTCTTCTGGTCCTGGGCTCTTGACCCTCTGTTCTCTGCCCATCATAACTGCCCATGGCTTCCCCTGGAGATGAGGTAAAGACAAAAGGTTAAGTGTTTCTCTCCCCTAATGTACTCCCTTCCCCTCCCCCCCAATAAAGCTGCCACTAATATTCTGGTTCCTCCTCAGACTAACCCCAAGATGTGATAGGGTACATGGTCAAAGATGGAGCTGTAAAGATGAGGGCTGCATTTTCCTACCCCTTGCCTTCTTCTCTGTACCCCACACCCAAGCTGGGAGAGAGGGGAAAAAGAACCTCTCTCTCCTTTCTTCCACAATAAGACTAGTATCCTAATCCTGGGTGAAGTCTGCTATATTATAGGGATGGATGTCAGACCTCTCTAAGTATTTGGGGAGGGAACACTGGCCTGTGAGACAGCATTAGAATCTGGGGGTAGAGATGGAGAATGTAGATGTTTGTATTACAGTGAGGTAACTGCTTCTTCCATCTCTGGGCTTCAAACCGAGGCCCTTTCCTCATTCCATGGCCCATCCCCACCAAAGTCCCCTTTTCCTGGAAAAGCCTGTCTGTGTAGTGAGGCTCTTCTAGAACTGGCTTTAGTCTATGATCTGTGCCAGTGGAAGTTGGCAAGGCAGGATGCTTGCTGTAGCTTTTCTCTGGATTGAACCTGAGATGTTTCTTCTGTAGGACAGGCATATAATCCCTATCATGATGCATATTAACTGGATGGGTTTCTGCTTCTATGTTGTCCTTCAGAAGACAGACCCATCTAAATTTCTCAATCTCAGCCTGATAGGTCTAGGGAATGGCCACTGACTCCCGAAATCTCACGGACCCGTGCTCCAAGTGATGTCAGGTGGTACCAGCAGTGTGCTAATACCTTCTCTACCAGCTAGCAGCCTGGTAGCTTGTTATCTCTTTCATCTTGCCCTTTGTGACAAGCAGGTTTGGGGTGAGACTAAAATAGAGTGGTCTTAGCAGATCTGGGATGGGGGGAGGGCAGTTTTTAGTGGTATAAACATTTAGAGTACATGAGATGGCTTGGATAACCCTGCCAGCTCCCAGAGCTTGTTGTTGAAAGTAGAAGAGATACTTGCTGTTGTCATGCATCCCCAGCTGAAGCAAGGGGTTGATGTTTATAGAGAGCCAAGGCTTTAGCTTTGGTTCTGGATCCCTTGTTTCCATATAAATCTTATTCAAACTGTGACAGGAAAGGAAAATTCATTTCCTCTCTGTGGACTGAGCCAGAAGGAGCATCAAAGTGACGAATTTTTTTTTCCCTTTCCCCCAGTGAAGTAAAATAAAAACACAGGAGGGACATTCAGTGATGGTTTGGGTGTGGGGAAGACTTTGGGTGGTGGACTTGGAAAGACTTCTCTTGATCTAAAATATCTGTCTTTCCAGGAGGAGCTGACAAGTACAAGTGTGGAGCATATCATTGTCAACCCAAACGCTGCCTATGACAAGTTCAAAGACAAAAGAGTGGGGACCAAGGGACTTGGTGAGGCCAGAGTTGGGTGTGCGATCAGGCAGGAGGGGTGATAAGGGTAAAACTCAGAATGAGATGGGTGTATGAGGAGGAATGGGAAAAAAGGCCTAGAAGCAACCTTCTGAGTTCTGGACTTTTTTGTAGTGGACTTACTCCTGGGAAGGGACCCTTCCAAGGGGCCTCTGGTGGAAACAAGTAACTCTTTAAATCCCCTCCCTTGCCTGGGAGTTAGAAGCAGTGACAAAGGTGGGACAACCTTTCCATTCCTTTCTCCTCTCTTCTCTTCCCATGCAGACTTTTCAGATCGTATTGGGAAAACCAAAAGGACAGGATATGAATCTGGAGAGTTTGAAATGGTTCGTTATGAGGGGGAATTTCTCATCTAGGGAGACAATTAAAAGGGAAAATTTTGGATGTTCCTCTGGTTGTTGGGGCTGAGGGGCCCTACTGGTTATTGAAAGGGACATCCCTTAAGTTGGTGTTGCCACTTACCTGGCTGTTGTTTGAAGTCATCAGTCTTGGAAATGTAGTAGACATGTTGGACTGGGCAAAATACACTTTGTGATTGGATTCTGGGATTTGGGCAGTTCCCTATCCTGAGGGATGTGACACCCCCTTTTATCCTTGACCTCCAGCTTGGAGAGGGACTGGGGCTGAAGGAGACACCCCAACAGAAGTATCAGCGACTTTTGCATGAGGTTCAAGAATTAATGACCGAGGTGGAGAAGATAAAGGTAACCCAGGAGCTCTGCTTCCTCCTCTACCCCCAGTCCTTGTCCCTTTGACCTTGGGAGGGAGGGAGAAGGTGCCTGGAACCGTATTCAAGACTGGGAATAGAAGCTGACCAATTTTCTGTCCAGGACTGATCTTCCAGTGCACTCCCAGTGACTGACACTTGGCTCAGGTCTGGCCCAATTCTTTGCAGTTCCTCATGGTTTTCTTACCTCTTCCCCTCCCAGGCAACAGTGAAAGAGTCAGCTGCTGAGGAGAAGCTGACCCCTGTGGTGCTGGCCAAACAGCTGGCTGTCCTGAAGCAGCAGCTCGTTGCCTCCCACCTAGAGAAGCTACTGGGACCTGATGCTGCCATCAACCTCACTGACCCTGATGGAGCCCTGGCTAAGTGGGTACCCTGGGCCAGAGAGCCTCTGCAAGGCCAGGCTGCAGCTAGGGAGGGGAACAGGGAAATGAAAGGAAGTCACACTTGTGCCCCTACCCCGCATGTGAAGTGACTTTTTGTTGATCTTCTTTCCTTGGCATAGCCGTCTACTGGTGCAGCTGGAGGCAGCAAAAAGCAGCAAAGGGGTTGGGGTAGGGGGCAAGGATGCTGCTGGGCCCCCCCCTGACAGCAGCCTGGTCACTTATGAGCTTCATTCTCGGCCTGAGCAAGACAAGTTCTCCCAGGCTGCCAAGGTGAGTGGCTGGAGTAGTCACTTGTGAGCAGTTTTAGTATCCTGCTCCCTGGCAGTCTTCTGACTAAGCTAAGTCTAGCCTGTATATTTCTCAGTGTTTAAAGCACTTGGGACTGATTGTTTGGCACAATCTGACTGGCCAGGGATGTATAAACTGTATTGGGGTGGGGCAGCAGTTGTCTGTGGGGCGCATTTCTGCTGTTTTACAATAACAAGGGGGCCACCCCTTAACTCTAGTTTAGGGGAGTCTCTTACCCTTGCTTTCACTACAGGTTGCAGAGCTTGAGAAACGGCTGTCAGAGCTGGAGGCAACAGTGCGCTGTGACCAGGACCCTCAGGTCAGATGCTCTCATGCCCTGCCAGAGCCTTTCCTTGTTTCCCACAACCAGTACAGGAAGGTCAGGAGTCTATATTCTTGGAACTAAGAAGGGAGGAAGATAATGCCCTGTTTGCCAGGCACTGTGCTAAAAGCACTTTTTACAAATAATCCTCCCAACCACCCTGGGAGGTAGGTGCTACTATTAACCCCATTTTACAGTTGAGGAAACAGGCTGACAGAGGTTAAGTAACTTGCCCAGTCACACAGCTGGTAAGCACCTGAGGCTAAATTTGAATTCAGGTCTTCCTAACCCCAGGGCCAGTACTCTGCTGCACCAGCAGCTGCCTCTAAGGGGATAAGAAACCTATTTCTCAAAGTCAAGCAAAGCTGGGGATGCCAAAATGGAAGGTGGTGGTAATGATAAGAAAACGGAGACTGATCTCACTCATTCTTCCCATCTCTTCCTCTAGAATCCCCTGTCTGCGGGTCTGCAGGGATCCAGCCTGATGGTAAGCAGGGAGGGAGCTATGTACAATAGCAGGATTTTGGAAGGGATGTTACAGTTGAGTTTTCTCCAAGCATTGGCTATTCAGAGTTCTGGCTCCAAGTGGATTTATCCTAGTGATGGCCCCAGTGTGTATTTGTAAATCTCTGGCCCTCCCTTCACTTCCCCAGGAAACAGTGGAGCTGTTGCAGGCAAAGGTGAGCACCCTGGACCTTGCTGCTTTGGACCAGGTGGAAGCACGACTACAGGTATGCATCTGGAGAGGTGGCAGTGATCTAAGCATTGATGGCAAGAGTCCTTTGTGTCTTCATTGCCTATCTCATCCTTTGTGCTTCCAGAGTGTCCTGGGGAAAGTGAATGAGATTGCTAAACACAAAGCTGCCGTAGAGGATGCAGACACACAAAGCAAGGTCAGAGCCACACCCCTGCCGCACTACGTCGTTTCCCTACAGTGTCCCACTGACACTGAGACATACAGAACGCAGACACCCAGCCCATTTGCCCACTGCCTTCAGCCTCACATGTATCAGCTTTCCTTCCACGCCCCCAGAAATACTGCCCCCAATGTGAGCCAAATCAGGTCCCCACTGCATGGGGAGCCGCTGCTTGCTGGTCCGACAATGATTCCGGGGTAGCATAACCACTGGCTGTGTGTGCCCTCAGGATCCTTTCTGTTTGCTCTCTCATTTCCCAGGTACATCAGTTGTATGAGACAGTTCAGCGCTGGAGTCCCATCGCTGCCACACTTCCTGAGCTAGTACAGCGACTTGTTACCATCAAGCAGCTGCATGAGCAAGGTGGGGAACCTGGACCAGGGAGGCACTGGGAGGGATTAGGGAGGTGAGCAGTTGAGCCTTTTGGTTCCCTTCCCGAGGTGTGCTACCAAGTCCCAATACCCACCTTCACTTATTGTAGCTATGCAGTTTGGTCAGCTCCTGACACATCTGGATACAACCCAGCAGATGATCGCTGGTTCTCTCAAGGACAATGCTGCCCTGCTGGCTCAGGTTTGTGTCTTCCAACAAAGCTCGGGCCTGTATTCCCCTACCTTAACATATATAGATGAGATTCTTTTGTCCGTCCTTCAAGGAGAGGCCCGAGGCTGAAAGGCCTTCCCTCCCTCTGCTCTTCAAGTTGTAACTTTGCTCATTGGGTTTGGACAAGTTGTAGTTGATTCTGTTTTCCAAAGCATAGTGGGGAGTGAGGAGATCATGGTATCAGTCCTGTGTCTGAGTTTGAGCAAGTCCCTTCATTTCTTTGGGTTGGTTTCATCACCTGTAAAGTGAGGTTGGACCAGATGATCTCTTAAAGTCTTCTCCAATTCCAGAATTGTGTGGTGGGTTACATTCCATCTCTTATTGGCCTTTTTCAGTCACATGTTTCTAGCTCCTTAAGGTACTCCCTCGAAGGTTACGGCCAAAAGTTCCTGAGCACATGTCATCCATTTCTAGGTACAAGCCACCATGCAGGAGAACCTGGTCACAGTGGAGGGAAACTTTGCCAGCATCAACACACGAATGAAGAAACTAGGAAAGTGAGCAGAAGTGGAGGGGCGGTCTGACCCGTTGTGTGTGTCCTGTACTTATCAGCTTGAGTCTGGCTGTGCTCCCTCTTTCCTTAATTATACAAATCCCAGCTTCCCCCTCCCTTCCAAGGAGAGGACCTCCTGCATGTGGAGTGTAGACCCCTTGGATACATTAAACAGTGGTGGCCAAGAGGAAGTATCTCCTGTTAGCCCCTGGAGAGGGGGGGCATGGAAACAGCCATTTTCCTAACCCATGTATAACACTGCTTTCCTGTGATGTGGTGGGAGTAGGGGTACACAGCTGCTGTGGCTAACTGTACAACTTTCTGATCATTAAATGCTGTTGTGCCGTACATGGCCTGTCCTGTTTCCTGGCAAGGTAACCTCACCAAGGGTTAGCCACTTCTACCCCTTGTCCGGGAAAACCAATCTGGATGGCAAGAATTCTGGGTATGTTTCCCAGAACAAAACAAGAGAAGAAGGAAGGATTTTAAATAAGCTGTTTCCACAAAAGAAATGAGCATGGACCCAGAGCCAGAGTTTCAAAATATTCTTATCTGTTAAATTAAGAGTGTCTCCCATAGAAAAGCGGTGGAGGCCCCACAGGGCAAGTACAAAACAGAATTAAAACTCCCGAAGGGTCTTGTCTTTACAAAAGAAAAGGCATGAGGCAGCCCCTGGACGGCTGGGCATGCTGGCCACTCCGGTCGGACTGCGTTGCATAATCCTTGCGTCAGCGTCATGACAACGTCTCTGAGCATTTTTGATGGGGAAAAGGGGGCACTGTAGTGTGTGTGGGAAGGGAGGCCTCTTTCCCCCCTTACCCCAGAGGAAAGGGGGAAGGAACCTGGCTTACAGCCTGAAATGAGGCTTCCGTGTGTTTCAAACCGTGGGGGTAGGGGTGGGGTGGGGCGGGGAGGGATCTGTGCTTTGAGGCACCTGAGCCAGAGGGAAGGGGGCTGGGGGTAGAAGGAGTGATGCTTATTGCTTTGTGCCTTTCGCTGGGAAGGAGGGCAGCAGCCAACAGTGGCTCACAGGTTTGTAAACTGAGCCTGCTGGCTTGGGGAAGAGGGGCAATGAAGTCGAATTAAATATAAAGAGTCATTTGTGCAAAAATAACTTAAGCAAATAAGACCTGGAGAAGGGTATGCTCCCCTTAGTACCTGGGGGGGGGGAGGTGCCAAATACCCCCCCAGACCTTATCAGTGACATGGCTTTGGGGTGAGGTGAGCTTCTCTATCCCCTGGAATGGCTCAGGATAAGATTATGGGGGGAGGGAAATGCATTTGTGCTTGGGGGCTGGAGGGGGGGGTACACAGCCCCCTACCCACTTCTGTCCACAGGTACAGATGGTTGGCAGGGACTCCCAAGGCTCAACTCCCCCCAGAGTGGGGATCAGGTCCAGCTCCAGGTATGGCTGCTATGGGGCCAATTTCCTCCTCTTGTTCTTGGCAGGACGACCGGGACGGGGCCGGGGGGGCAAGGGAACGGCCACCTGGACGAGTACAGAAAGGTCACTAGCAGCTGCTGACAAGGCAATCTTTCTTCCTCCGTCAATCCCCCAGCCACCGTTTTT